CTCTTAAGTGTGAAAGATTTATTTCTTTCTTGCTCCAAACTTCCTCTGGTATTCTGTAATCCAAAGGAACTGAGGGCCCACGGTTGATCAAGTAAGCTGCAGTGTTGATAGCTTCAGCCCATAGAAATTTGGGCAATCCGGCATGTATCCTCATGCTTCTGGCACGTTCATTCAGAGTTCTGTTCATGCGCTCTGCTACGCCATTATGCTGCGGTGTCATGGGAACTGTTGTCTCTATCTTGATCCCATTGTTTGCGCAGAAATCTATGAATCTTCTATTTTTGTACTCTCCTTCATTGTCAGACCTCAACCGCTTGACTTTCAAACCAGTCTCATTTTCTACCATGGCCTTCCATTTTCTGAAGGTATCAAAGACTTCTGATTTCTTCTTCAGAAAATAAACCCACACCTTCCTTGTAGAATCATCGATGAAGGTGACATAATATAATGAGCCTGCAAGAGATGGAACTGAAGATGGTCCACATACATCAGTATGAACCAACTCTAACTTTTCAGCCTTGGGTGTCTTACCATTCTTTGCAAAGCTGACTTTCTTTTGTTTGCCAAAGATGCAATCCTCGCATAGTCCGACATCTACATTCTTTAGATCCGGCAGCTTCCCTTTTGATAAAAGTGTCTTCATCCCTTTCTCGCTCATATGACCAAGCATTTGGTGCCATAGGTTTAATTTTCCATCAGCATCTACGGCTGCAATGATATTCTCTAAATTTGAAGTTACATAAAGAGTACCAGTCTTCTTACCACGAGCAATGACGAGTGCTCCTTTGGTAATCTTCCATTCACAGCCTGAAAAGGTTGTACTATAACCTTCTCCATCAAGCTGTCCTATAGAAATTAGATTTCTTTTGAGGCCAGGAATATGTCTCACTCCTGTCAGCTTCCAGGTGGTCTAGTTTGGCAGCTTTAGTCGGATGTCTCCTTTTCCGATGATCTTCAAGGTTTCATCATCAGCTAGATGAACCTTCCCAAAATCACCACTGACATAGTTCTCCATGATTTCTCGGCATGGGGTGGAGTGGAAAGATGCCTCTGAATCCAAGATCCATGATTCAATCATACTGTTGACGCTTAGAATCATGGTATCACCTGTCTTCTCTGTCATGTTTGTAGATTCCTGTGTGCCGGTATCTTTCTTCAGTGCTCGACAATCCCTTTTAAAGTGACCCTTCTTGCCACAATTATAACAGGTAAAATCTTTCTTTCTCGTTCTTGATTTTCCCCGTCTGGATTTCGATCTGCCACGATTTGAATTTCTTTCTGAAGTTCTCCCTCTAGACTCCATGTGCAAGGCTGAGGAGGTTGATGCTTCACCCGATTCTCTCCGTCGAATTTCTTCGCTCAGTACCAGATCCTGAACATCGTCGAATTTCAATTTACTATTTCCCGACGAGCTACTAACTGCTGTAACAGTAGCATTCCAACTGTCTGGTAGAGATGATAAGAGAATTAAAGCTCGAACTTCATCATCGAATTCAATTTCCACGGAACTCAACTGGGTTATGATTGTGTTGAGTTCATTTAGGTGTTGAGCCACTGATGCCCCTTCCGTCATCCGCAAATTGAATAATCGCCTCATCAAGTGAACTTTGTTTGAGGCCGATGGCTTCTCATACATAGTGGAGAGAGCCACCATAAGACCCGTCGTGGTCTTTTCCTTTGCTATATTGAAAGCAACATTTCGGGACAACGTCAGTCGGATGACTCCGAGGGCTTGTCTATCGAGAAGAGCCCAGTCTTCATTCTTCATGCCCTCTGGTTGCTTTCCTGAGAGGGGTTGATATAGATTTTTCTGGTACAAAAAATCTTCAATCTGCATCTTCCAAAAGCCAAAGTCTGTACCATTGAACTTTTCAATTTTTACCTTCCCTTCGTCTGCAGCCATCGCTCCCTCTCAAATCTGGATTCGTTTGGATCGTTTCTGACAATTCTTGCGAACCACCGTGTATTAGAACACTTCCGTCGACAAATTCGTATCGCCGACAAAATTTTACTATTCACGAAATTTACTATTTACGTGAATAGTAATGAATAGTAACCTCGCAAAAAATTGACAAAATTCACAACCAAAAGCTCTGATTACCAGTTGTTGGGAAATAAACGAGTAACAAGTAATTTTCCTATAGCCAGATTAGTGAGAATACCAAATAAAAGCGGAAAAATAATACCCGAAAAATTGATAACGGAGTTCAGTCAATTGTGCTTACGTCTCCAGACTGCTGCAGATCTTTTACTAAAGAGAAAAAATTACAGGTGTTTACAAAACACACTTGAGAGAGAACTGGAATATTTTGGGATGATTTTGAAGTTAAGTGAGCTAGGGTATTTATAGATGAAGCTTAAGGACTAATCTTTGAGAATACCCTAAAGTTCAATGACTAATTTTAAGATATACCCTTCTCACTTTCAAATATAACTGCACCGAAAATTGAAAATTTTATGTACCTTTAATTTGTACTTTCGACAGCCCCTTTCTATGACTTTGTAGCCTCTTTCTTCACACAGGCGATGCCCACCCCTTTGACTTTTCTTTCAACACCAAGCTTATCATTACTAGCAGTGCCAACCATTTTTTTCAAATCCAAGCTTCTGTCCCTTTTCTTCACTCACTTCATCAGCAATGAATTTTTTCTGCAAATCCAATAAAAAATTCCAACCAAAAAAGACTATCTCAATAAAATGTCGAATAAAATGTAATTACTAGCAAAAAAAGGATCATGTAGTTGGATTACTACCCAGAAAGTGGTGAAGTAAACACACACAGACAATGTAACCATTAAAAAATGAATATCAAACCCCAAAGCGAAAAACAAAAGATACCCATTAACAAGAAGATTATGAAGTCTTTACCAAGAAAATGGAAAAAGAAAGTCTTCCACCTAACCAAACACTTGAAAAAAAATTAAATAGAACCCGAAATAGGTTAGAAATTTTCAAGTCCGAAATGAAAAACAAAAGACACCAATTACCGGGAAAGCATAGAGACATTGAAACTTTACAAAAGAAAGTGAAACAATAACAGCTTTTAAGTACAAAAAACTTACTTTTGAAGGGCTTGGGGATGTAGTGGAAGTAGTTGAGGGACTGATAGTGTGTAAAAACGGGGGTTTGTTTTGACTCGTTGAACCCATTTTGGAAGAAAGAGAAAACAAAAGAGAAGCTTGCGGGAGGATGTTGGAGCTAGTAAACCGTGGGATCTAAACGGGAGGGTGAATTGCATTCAAAGCTACCAATATCGCTGCTTTTACTCTCAGGAAAGATGATGAATGAAGAATCAAACAAAGTACACTCATGAACTCCCTCAAAAAAAATTCTTTAATTTAACTCCCGAAAAGTAATTGAAAAAAGATTTATATGGAAGTTTATATAATTTGTATTTTTAGATTCTTCTAATGGATGAAATAATTAAATAAGAGCCGCGTTTTGGACTCTTATTAACGTTGAGATCTGGCGGAATTTTGATGGGTGTTTGAAGCTTGAAGGAATCTCGTTTAGACTGGAACGTCAGTATTGCCATTGGCTAAATGCTCATGTTATGATAGATCTAAGCATCTAGATACTACTCTAGAAGCTGTGCATCTTAATTACCATTTATTAATACTTATATGTATGATGGATTCGAACTCATTGAATAATCTCAATGAAAAAAAAAGGAAGTATTGTTTTACTTATAAATTTTAAATTTGAACAATTCTATTTGCATGATGTGTATGTATTATCAATAACTTAAAATGATTTTGAATAGATATATACTATTTTATAATACCCAAACTAATTAAAAAAATATTTAAGATAGATTCATGTATCAAATTATGGTCCAATATAGTTGGATTATTTAGATATAAATCCAGGGTCGAGTATAAATAATATAGTTCAGGTAGTCAAAATGGCTTGAAGCTATCTCCCCGTATGAATCATATAATCAATAGAAACCATAAAACATAATAGAAGAGCTTACCCCATCCATAAGTAAATATTTTATAGTAGTCTCGTTAGATCATACACCCTTTTTTTAAAGAGTTATAAATTAACGACGAATAAGTTACTTCTCAAAGCCTATTAATAAGTTGTGTGAAAAATGGAATAAGATGTGAACAATGAATCAATAATGAATAAGCAACTTCAAGCTTAATAATGTACTACGTGAATATTGATAATTAGTTATGCCTTAAACGTCATAGGCTGCTAAATGGCTAAGTTACTCTAGCATAACCTTCTATACGAGAGAACGAGTTACTTGATGATGAGAGAGGAGGTTTCCTCTCTTGAATGGTTTGATGAAGAATGATGTGTAATTAAACTATTTATTTGGCCTTGTAAAGAGATGACTGATATTCGTGGTTTATGGACACTTGTGTATGCTATGACCATACGTGATGGTAATTGTTGGATATCCACAATTGCTTGGCCCAAGTGTTATAGTGATACTAGGTCATTGATATATATTGTGACCATGAATTTTTATGAAGTATATGTGAGATCAGATTCCCTTTTTATGGTTTTTACCCAATTGCAATGGTGACATTAAATAATCATTTATTGTATTATTCATTAATGGAAAATATATCAAAGCAACACAGAAACAATAAAAAAAACATACTAGAGAAAGATTATGAATATTTTAGAGATTAATTTGCATTGTGAGCGTTCATTATTTTATTTATCTCTTTGGGTGAGTGCTTAAATTACAAGTAGTTTGATCTTGTCTTATGAAATTATGGTTTTCCCCCCATGAAATTATTGATTAAATGCAGAAACATTAAATAAAAATACAAAAACTCGATCCAACTTGATTTAATCATAAAGATATCAACGATAGGAAAATAGACAACCTGAAATAACAAAATAAAAACGACTCGAACACAATCCAACAGTAATTTAAACTCGAAAATACATGAACTTGAAATGATTTGAAAATTTGAAACCCCGAATGTATTCGACCTAATTGGCAAGCATCACACTCAATCCACAATCATATATACTGTAAAGCAGTTTGTGATGTCAACACTTTGAAGTCAAAATTATGAAATGAGAAATTATTACCAATCATAATTTTGAAAGTTAAAAATGAAGGCATCCTCGTATCTAAGTCTAACTATAAATGCAGACGTTGAGGGAAATGAACAAGGAAACCAGGAAAACAATATCAATGGACATTGAACCGCGTGTTATCCTGTTTCCGTTGGTACTTTAGATGTATTCGGTTCGACGAAGAACCGCAACGACAAAGCTTTGGTGCCATCCCCTTCTTCATCAAACACTATTAATTCTCGTCGTCCGAACTAGAATCATCTATCCTTAGCTCGGCTAGTGCTGGGAAAAGCTTCTGACGTAGATCAGGTGTTCCCATACGAGACTCGGAGGAAGATGATGCATGTGATGATGCACGCGACCTCTCCTTTCGTGATTTTACCGGCTTGTCTTTAACCTCTTTGCACACCTTATCCAAAATTATCAAGAAATCTCGTACAACGAGAAACAGGCGTAAGCCCTCATCCTTCTTATTGTCACCATGGAAGTAACTGCCGGTTCTCTTCACTAACTCCATTATTCTCTTCTCTTCCTCGAGCAATGACATGACATCAACCTCAGCCATCTCCATGAAACTCTTTAATGTTTTGTGAAAATCACTGTCTTCCACCAAATCTTTCATCTCCGAGTTCAAGAAATCACGTGCTTTTAGGAGTGAATGGCCGAGTTTGACAACGGTTCCTGTTAAGTTTTCAGCATCAACAGCTGCCGCTTGCTTGACACTTTCGAGTTCAGTACTCAGACGTGAAACTGCTTGAAACCCTAGGCTGCGGTAGCGCTCATCCATATCAGGGGAAACATCCTCAAGAAGATCGTCGGATTTTATGCTGGTAAAACTTCCGCTTTCTCTTTCAACACGGGCAGCTTTCAAACCTTCAGAACGTATTATTTCTTGGACAACGAAGTGCAAGAGTGTGGTCTTCCCATCTGCTCCTTTAACATCCGATAACTTCAAAAGTGCGTCAAGTTTGAAAGCTAGTGCGCCGCCATGGTATGTTCCATCATTCATGCGATTTCCGGTTTTAAGAACAGCTTCTAAGAGCTTGAGGAATAGACGGCTACCTCTTAGATCCTTGCAAGCAACCTGCCAAATTACAATACTTAATTCTCATTTCATTAACTATCTAAAACAGCATTTTTTATGTATGACATGAATTGGATGAATCAGGCAAGTCATACAATTTAAAATCTAATGACAAACCTCTAATGTTTCAAATGACTCTTTTGTTGCAGCAACCTCCTCATTAAGAGAACACATAAAAAGCAGCACTTCCATTCTTTTAAAAGCAAAGGGGATGTCAAGCACTTGTTTTAGGAATTGCTCGGCTGGACCAAGTTGAGACATTTCACCGCTGAACGTTTTGAATTTGCGTTCTTCGTCTGATGTTGGTGCCATCTTCAATAACGTCCGAAGGAGTTCAATGGGGAGTTCCTTTCCTGATATTGAAAAAAAGGATTAGAAAATCATTGTCGGAAACACCAACTACGGATTCAATGATGAGTAACAGGTAGAGAGCCCATCAAATACATGCTGGATCATAAAATTTTCTCCAAGTTCTTTCAGTTACAAATGGTTCTCTTGCAACATATTTATTAAAATATTTTCACATTAGAAACTAGATTTGTGTATATTTATACTAAGATTAGTCCATAAATCATTATAAGTTCAGGGAAGAGTTCAAGGGAAACCACTATTGTTATTTTTCTGTTAATAATTTCAAGTTCTAAACTAGTTTTAGAACCAGGGTTCTCTTAATAGTTTTCCTCCTAGACCCTCAACTAGAGTGGGAGAAAAGAACCTCAGAATTCAGACCATGTTATTAAATATAGTAGCTGCAAAAAAAATGTTCATGTTTCGAAATCTTCAAACGTTAGCATAATGTTAGTTATGCTCGATATAAAATGTGGTAATCGGGTTCTATTTCAAGATGGGGTACAATGTATAGAAACGAAAAGGTTATCAGCTAAGAGGGAAGACATGTAGAAATTTTTCAAATTCCATGGACGCCGGATGATAGTGCTACTATCAAGGATCAATAGCCAGTATAAGCAAATAAATTTGAACAATTATCAACCAGTGATAGAATGCACGGAGATTATAGTTTCTGGTTGCTTGCAAATTTGCTCCGAAGCACATTTTATATAGGATGAATAAGATGGAGGAAATCACCTTCCCGAAGTGCGTCACATACATCTACGGTGCTCACATTCAACGCCCGCAAAAGGATTGCCAGATTTTGTGCTTTCTTGGGGTCAATTAGTTGAACAAACTGGGGTGCATGTTCTTTCTTACCAGATGGATCTTTCTTACCATTATTCTTTTTCTTGTCAGCGCCCGAATACCCGAACAAAGTTTGAATCAGCTCCTCATTGAACCTGCAAAGGGAGCATCGAGAATCCCATACTGATGAGTCGACATTAAACTAAAAGGGAAAAAACAAGTAAAGAATCAGATATATACTGGAACGATCCGGATTTGATCTGATTCCAGACCATTGCATGGTCTGGCTTGGCTGCAACTTTATCCCAGAAAAATGGCTTCAGTTTGGCTTTAGAAGCATGAGCACCATTCCCTCCTGTATCAGATCCTTCGCCAGATGAAGCATTTGGTGTGCGTTGAGGACCATTTGGTGGTTTAGGTCCCTTGGAACCTGAGGGCATTGGTGGAGGTGGCCTAGGAGGAGCTGGTGGGCGAGGACCAGCTCCAGGAGCTTTAGGTGGTGGCGGAGGTCCAGGAGGTGCAGGAGGATTAGCCCTAACCGGATTAGGAGGTTCAGGAGGGAGAGGATCCAGTTCACCTGCAAGAGCATTCTCCGCAGGTACTCCAGGAACGGAAGTACTTGCCCCTCCCGAAGGTTGGGTCGAATTAGTATTGCCTGATTTATCAGAAGATTCTGCTGAGGATTGGGCTACAGTGGCACCGGCAACAGCTCCAAGTGATGGCTTCCCATCCGAGGAAATTTCTAGAGCAATACCGCCATTTTTTGAAGCCTTCTTTTGCTGGCTTGATTCATTACCTAATGGTTGGTGGTCAAGCTTCTGGTCTGAATAAAACAATAAAAGCATATGCATGAGAAGAACCTACAACAACAAATTTTGGTAGAATTTATCAAAAAGCTTCAATATAGTGTGGGAAATATATACCACCGCAGATAGGCCTCGGGTTAATTTGCTTACGAAAGCACAAAAAGAAGAACAAGAATGCGATAAAAGCTGTTACTAACGCAGTCACAATACAAGCAATAAAGAGTGTTGTCTTCTTCAGTCCTTTATATTCTAAATATCCATGGTGGGAATCATGTACTGCAGGTGGTTGGTTAGAAGGTTTAAGAAGTGATGGAGAGGGTGAAGATGCCGGACTTTCCGTTGGAGATTGAATAGGACTAAATTCAGGAGCTTCGGAATCAGGAGAAGAGCCTGGGGCCGAATCTGGGGGTGATGATGGGGATGGGGATGGGGATGGAGATGGGCCCGAATCCGAGTCAGGGGGTTCTGCAATGTTCTTTGAGGCTAAAATCCTTCTAGGAACATCATGCCCGTGATACAAAGAATTGACATATCTGATGTACCAAGGATTAAAGCCACCGTCTCCTACAGATGCTTCGAATATAAAATAATTCTTTCTCATGCAGTTAGAGAGAGCTTGCTTTAATGAGGGATGGCGAACAAAGTTCTGAATGCTTTCTTTTGCCAATGAATAATCCACCGTATGGATAATATTGGAGAGTATTTCCCGCAGACGGTGTAACTTGGGTTCAAAAGCTTGCGATAAATCACCCAACTCTTGTCTGCAATCTAGCCATAACAAACTCACCTGCAAGTAAACAATTTGATAATACAATGTTTTATCAAAGGATTGTCACTAAAACAGTAGAAATCAAAAGCAACATTTAATCCTTTGATTAAGGATTGTCACTACCAAACATACATTTCCATTGGTCTATACTGTCAATATCAGATGCCATTGTCATCGGCAGAAATGGTATAATAAGGTTTAAAAACATTACACAGCAGTGGTTCAAGACAAGTCCAAGTGCAGCTCAAAAACTTGAATACCTAACGACACTCTCGGTTTTCAATAACTTTTAACGCCTCCGAAGTGATCAGTAGATATTACAAAGCTGAAATGCTTATGATTCCAACATCTTCCCAGGGCTTCATTAACCAATATGTTAACCATTTCCACCCTAACATATAAAAGGCGAAAGCATGGTTTTCGGAGAACATGAACTATTTGCCAATAAACAAAACACAATTTCTTTTCAAAACATAAACAACATTGTTCAAGCAAAACAATTCCAGTAAATGGAAAAACTAATCAGATAAGCAAAATTAAGTAGAGCAATGTCCTTTACCAGATTTTCGTTGATTTCCCCGTTTGATGGATCAGCTAATACGTTAATAAATGTTTCATCTCCATCACCCCTATACTCCAAGATGATTGCCAATGAAATACAAATCAAAATCACCAAAAATATAACACAAGGAATTGCTTTGGCACACGATTTTCCTTGCACAATCGGCATTATCACAAGCAGAAAAAGTATTCCTTTTCACTCCATCAATCTCCAAAACCAAAAGAACTCAAACCGACCCGACCCAAAACCCATCGGATGCTTTCATCAAGAGTTCACCAACTCGAGTCGTTTCCCCTCAAAAAGAAACCATTGAAAACCTGGTAAAAATAAGCAGATTTTTCCTCAGATTGAAACTTAGAATCACAACTCAAGAAAACAAACAAAACCCAAAATTATCTTCCCTTGAAAGCCAGAAATTTGGATTCAAATGAAATTTAGAAACAATAAGCCAGAAAGGATATGATCAACAAAGCATAAAATAGAAGCTGAAAAAACAAGTACCAACAAATTTCAAAATCTCTGCTTGTTAACTTCGACCATATCCAATCAATAACAAATTGTTGAACATAAACAAAACCAGCTAACAGTGCATGTAAAAAGAGTTGACAAGGAAAAAAGTTGTGCTTTATTGGAAAAAGGGTTCTTACATTGAGCTGACACAATGTTTCAAGGTCCTTTTTGCTTCTCGTTGGGACTCTGATCTTTTTTTTTATACGCATCCAGATAACAAACATTAGTTGAATTATTATTTATAGTAATACCTAAATTTAGCAATCAGCTGTTAATTTGATGATTTTGCAACATACCACCAAAATCTTTTTTGTTTTGTTGAGAGGATTTGAAATGAAATTTGGGAATAAGTTTTGTTTTGAATGGATAAGTTTGTTATTCTTTTTGTTTTGAAAATAAGGATATTATTTTTCGAAATCTGAAACTAACGAAATTACGTAGTTTTTATTATTCGATAACGTTCTCTTTTTATTATCCATTTGAAAACATGTTTCTTTTAAGTTTTAATATAAAAAAATTAAATTATACTTCTTTTTCTGTTTAAATTAACATTTTTTAGATATTATTTTAAATATTTACGTCTATTGATCGTTACTAACAAATATTGTGATAAAGCTCGCCACTCCTCCGAAGTACTCTTCTTCTTCTCCCTCCCCTCGCCACTCTTCTCGTCGTCCTCCTTTCGCTCTTCAAGCTCGCGTTAGTTCTGTCACTGTCGATGGCGGCGGCGGCGGCATCTGTGTAAACTTTATTTTCACTTTCGTAGCCATTTTCATAGTCGTCGTAGGCCGAAACACTATCGTATCCTTTGTTTTTGCTGTAATAAAGCTGTGCGCTAGAAACCCTCCCGTTGCCAGCTTGATTTCATGGCAATTGATTTTAGTTTTATGCTAAATTTATACATTCCAAGCTTTATTATTTTAAGAAAAATTCATTGCACTCTGCTTTTTTGCTTCTTCCCACCCTCCATCCATGGAATAGAATTCATTTGCATTTGTTTTCTCTCGCGGTCATGCCTTTATTATTTTTTCTTTGGACTTGCTCTGCAATCGCATCCTGTACACGTTTTGGATTGATTTCAAACAAACTCATTTCTTAATGAAAATAACATGCAATGATTGGTATTAACCCCATTTCGGATTGTATGATGGTCCGGGCGGTGAGTGATCGGCGGGTGAGTTGATGTTCGTCAGCGTGATTGAAAATTCATAATTTTTTTTTTTTTTTTTAAAAATCAAAGGAAATTAAGAATTAGGTCATATGTCGAATATTAATTGATTCATTAAGTTTTAACATAATTTTTCAACAGTTGCCACGAACCAGACATTGATCAGAAAAAAAAATTAAGCACTTAAATAGAAAAACAGTGGTGCATCTAGGCCAGGGCCTACCTAAACCATGGCCCACCCTATGCCAAAAATAAGTTAAATTATTTATTTACTCACTCACTTATTTTTTAGTTTTTATTTTAGTCATTCAACTGTTATTTATTTTAAATCGTATATGATGTTACATTTTAGTTCTGTTTTGATCACTCATCTTTAAAAAATTAACGGGAATTTTAACATGTCATCATAAGATAACACCACATCAGGATCAGAAAATAATTAAAAAATATATCATGTTAGCATCATTGTTAATATCTTAACGGCATGTGACTAAAACATAACCAAAATATAATCTTAGGTATGATTTTAAAAAACTCATAGTTAAATGACTAAAACATAGATTAAGTAATAGCCAATAGGTGACCAAATAGATAGTTTACCCTAAATAAAAATGGGCATGAATTATGTTAAGAAAATTATATTGTTCCAATTAATATATTTTTTTCTAGATTTGATTCATATGTATATAATTTTTTTTATATTTTTAAAAATTAATAATATATATTAATTATATTAGATAATTTTTTTGTTATATTTATATTGACCCAGTCTATAAATTTTTTTCTAAATTCGTCGAAAAATACATATAATAGTATAATTTGGACAATTTTTTATTATTTCATGCAAATTACTGATTTAAGATAAGTAATGAACAGTAGGCCAATAGATTTGTATGAATTATCTCTCACTAAGACAAATAATGACATAGTAATGATGTTAAACATTTGGCAGCATGCATTTACTTCTCACAATACTAAAGCCACGAAATTAGCATAATTGAACTATGAGTGTGGTAAATTGCTTAACTTTAAGATAAGTAGGATCATAAAAATTAATTAAACCATAAAAATTAAAAGATTAAGGATTTAATTTCACTAATTTTAAAATTCAGATGCTTTTAAAAAGCAACTAAACCAGAAAATTTTGGGGTTAAGTCTTAAGACATCAATTTTAAAACTAATAGTGTCCTAAAAAACAATTTTATCAAAAGTTTTTAAGAGAGATCAATGCTTAATTAATAATTACAATTGTTTCAAAGCTTAAATCATCAAAAGTGAGGGGTCATTGCCCCTCCCTCCCACCTATAACATGAGTTTGTTCCTGCTTGTAGAAACCCGAAACTTAAAGACCTTAATTGAATAATTTAAAAAGAGCTTAATTGATTAGAAAATTTTACAAATTAATTTAATTGTAATAATTCGAAGGTTGTTTGTACCTTTATTTCCAATCTTGTGAATCTGTACTGTACTTGCTTATTTTATACTTTTACTTTTACATACTTTTTCAATTGAGTTGACAACTTAGTTAAATAACATCAAATTTAATCAGATATTTTAAAAATATATATTAATAGTAAAAAGTAAATATTTAAGGTAAAAAAGATTTGTAAATTTAATACAACAATAATTGTAGGTGAAAATTCACTTAATCATTGGGACTAATCGAAAGATTAATAATATTTTTGTTATTTAATAAAAAATATTACATTTAAATATATATACATATTTATAATCTTTAGAAGGTACAACTAAACCAAACCTCTGTCCACAAATTTGATCCACGAAAATAGACACTTATCAAAACATGAAAGGAGTAGGAGAAAACGTGGGAATGGCCATTGGTTCCGGATTTCGCCTGCAAATTCCATCCAACAACGTTATGACACGTTTAATATTACAAAAATATATGACATAATATATTAAGAACTTGATACAATATTTAAATATAATATGATGAATATGACATAATTTATTTAAAGATAATTAATATAATTACATTTTAATTTTAAGGATTATTGGATTAAGCAAGAGCAAAAGTAGTATCATTCTAATTTGATTGTCATCTCATAAATTAATTAACATAATAAAAGTTTTTTTTAGGGATGGCATCGAGTCGGGTCGAGTTATATATTTGGGCTGCCCAAATCTGGCCCGAGAATTGAAATCTTTCACCCGTTCCTGACTCGAAACTCAACCCTATTTTTTAAGTTAAAATCCGTATATGACATGTTCGACCTAAATATATATAATTTATTTTTATCAGGTAAAACAATAACTAAATTAAAAAAATAAAATGGAAAGAGACATCATTTTAATAATTCTTAAATATATAAAATATAATAATAATATTCTATCGGTTTGAGTTGAATTTTTTCATCCTGAACTCAAACCCAACCCAACTACACCTTAAAAAAAACCTGAACTAACATGACGTAAATCTGAATTTACAAAATAAAAGACTGATTCGATGAAATCAGATATCGAAACCCGTCGTGGTGAATTTGCCATCCCTATGTGCTTTAGTTCAATCTACTATTTTATGATATCATTAATTAGTCTAAATAACTTAGACGATTAGCTATTCTAGTTAAAATGTTGATATGATTCCAACAAATGACATTTTAGATGCATAAAATTAAATTATGTTGAAGTAAAATACATAGACTAAAAACTAAATTTGAAAATAGTAAAAGAACCTAAACCACAGTTTAACCAAACAGAAATATTATATATCTGAAGAAAATTTAATTTACCTTATGTCGCCGCTATCGCTTCGAACATGAATTTTGGAGCGTGACCCTGACGTGCTCTTCCTCTTGACCGCCCTATCCGCCGCTGTTGTTGCCGCTTCCGACTTCATTTTCTCTCTTTTCTCCGCCATAACATTATCCTCCGAGATTGCGTACAACGAAGGCTTCCACTCTGGAGTCATAGAGAATGATGTCCCTACCTTTACCCTCTTATTCTTCTTCCTCAATGCCGCCATTTTTGGAGCCATTAAAGACCTCGTCTCTTCCCTCCTTGGAGCCGGCACCACCTCCTCCGTCGTAGACACTTCAGGGTTTTTAACGCAACATGAAACAAACTCCACAAAAGATCTCATATCGGCTAGTTATACCTTTTTGTATAAATTAATTAACGGATGAAAACTTGAAATTCTATATTTAATTATATATATAATTCTGGGAGTAATAATTGTACACAAAAGAAAAGAGAAAAGGAGAATAAAGGAAGAGTAGGGTGGAGAAGATTTAGAGTAGAACTAGAAGACATTGGTGTTTCATTTTTCCTTTTCTTATTGCTTCTTTCTTCTCATAGTTTCCAAGTACGTGGGTCTGTTTTTATAGTGTTCGTGAAGTGAAAAGGGGGGTGGATTTGGATTTACATAAAAAAAAAAAAAAGGATAAACTACGTATCATTCACCGTTAACAAATTAATTGTAATACTAATGTGTCACTATAGAATAATGTCATGTCATAATTGAAAAAAAATAAAACATTGTTTCGTCGACAGTTTTGTTTATTTTGTAACAATAGGTAGGAGTGAGCAAAACTGGATTCGATTTGAAAAATCAATTTTTTTCTCAATTTTGAGTTATTCGAGTCAACTCGAATTATTGATTTGGTTTTCGATTTCAATTCGAATTAAAATTTGGAAATTTCGAGTTACTCGAAAAAATAAAAAATTTGGTTGAATAATTTGACAGTCTTGTGATTTAGTTCATGATTTCCTTATTACTTCAATTCCTCCTTCATTTTAAGTGCATTTTTTTTTATTAAATTTGAATCACACTCTCCTAATCGTAGAATACCTATGTGCTTTCAATTCCTCTTTTTTATAACAGTTTTTTTATTTTTTTTAATTTAGTACCTCAACTTTTCATGGTTTCTTTATTTCTTCGATTCATCTTTCATTTTAAGTACATTTTTTTATCAAATTTGAATTACATGCTTCTATACCAATATAGAATACCTATGTAACTTCAATTCTTATTTTTTACTAAAGGCATACTCTCTTTTTTATTTAGTCCCTTAACTTTGCATTTTACTCAATTTGGAATATTGAGGATAATTCTTTGCAAATTCTTTCTTCTTATCAATTTCTTGTGTCTTTTATACTCTTATCAATAATTTACCAAAAAAAAGATATTCTTTAAAATATAATATTGTAAATATATTTTATAATTTTAGATTGTATTTGATGTATTAAATAGCATTATATTGTTTAAAGATTATGAATATATATATATATATATATCTTATATGGTTAGACAAAATAAAAAAAAATAGAATCAATCATTATCATGATATTATAAATAATTATAATAAAATTTGTATAGAAACTCGAATAACTCAACTCAAATTTCTTAAACTCGAATTGACTTGAAAAAATTTCAAGTTAAGTTCAAGTCACAAAATACGACTCGTCAACTCGAATAACTCAAAATTTTTTGACTCGACTCGATCGAATGCTTACCCCTGACTATAGATGACCGAAACAAAACCAAAAAACATAATATTAAATATGATTTTGAAAGAGAAAATAATCGGGTGATAACATGGGAGGGGATAAGACATATTTCTATTATTTTTTTCTCATACAAAAAATGATACTCGGTTAATGATTTATTGGCCATAGCAAAGTCTAGTTATAATTATTTTTTAGCTGTTGAATGGGGTTTTTAACTTAAGGCTACGTTATTGTTGGTTTGTTTTGATATTGTTGCTAAATTCTTTAGGTGTTGTTATGTGATGATTAAAGTTTATTTGAGCGGGAGTTTTCGGATAAATAAATAAATTTTATATAATAAAAAATAGTCAAGGGACTAAAATAGAACCATAAGAATAGATTAATGACTAAATACATTGGTTACCCTAAACAAAATATACGTATAAAAATCAAAGAGAGAGTCCCACTCTAGGGGTGAACAAAACTCGACTCGACTCAAAAAATTGATTTTTTACTCGATTTGACTCAAAAAAAACTCGACTCGAATTGACTTCAAGTTGTAATTTCATAAACTCGACTCTTAAAAAAAATTCAAGTTCAAATCGAGTTATAAAATACAACTCGAATAACTCAAAAATTTTAGCAATTAGTGGATTAATTTTCAAATCCCTCGACTTTGTATAATATATGTATATCACATATGAAAAAAATATGAAAAATTATACATGTACAGTATGTGGTTATAAAAATCATTTGCATTGAAATAAAATAATATCATAATATTATAAATATTTACAATTAAATTTAAATAAAAACTCAACTCGATTCGATTCGATTCAAATTTTATAAACTTTACTCAAAAAAATCTTATGTCAAATTTGAATTATAAAATAAGAATCGTCAACTCGAATAATTCAAAAAAGATTACTCGACTCAATCCAATGCACATCTATATGACTATATGCCACTCAACCCAAGGTTAATAGTCCAATACTTGACTATTTATGTTCTAATATCATAATAGTGTTAATTTTTTAATTAAAATTTAATATGATATCACATAATTCATTGATATATATATATATATATATAAATTTGTAAAACCCTTTTTGAAAACTAAGAATTATAAGGATTATTGTTAAAATGAAATATTTATCATTGAATTTTCATGTGCATTTTCACTTTGATGTGGGGCTGCCTTGGTTCATGACGTGGCACTAATATTTATGAAGTAGTATACCTTTTGTAATAATTTTTAGTATGGACATGTCTAGCATTGACATGATGTACTGACTAAAATTAAGATTCATTTCAAATTTATTTTGATATAAAGCTAAATAAATTATTATAAATATTAATATTTAAAACTTAAATTTAATCATTAGTATTACTAAAAAATTGATACAAATCCCCAAATGTAATTAGTAAAACATATTTTCAGGCATATAAATACTACCTAAACATGAAGATTTGATATCTCAAAGCATGTATGAGAATATTTAATTAAGAAATAAAAAAAATTAGAACCGACAAAAGTATTGATTAACTTAATTAAAGCAATATTTTATTATTTTTGCTAATTTATTTGTCAAAATTATTTTTAGTGGTTCAAAAATACTTTTTATTAAAATTGTGTATATCTTATTAAAATCGGAAGTTATCCGTCGTTTTAAGTTAGGTATGATTGATCATAGTATACTCAGAAAAATATCCTTTTAAAAAAGTTTTTGAAATTTTTTTTTTTGTTGAAAAAATGAGTTTAGAGGTCTGCAAATAAAATTGAATAAAAAATTTAAAAGCAGTTATGTGTATGAATATAGATGGGCATGGGTCGGATCGAATTTCTGGTTAACCCGATCCGACCCGAAAATTATACATCCTCCATCCAAACCCGAATCGGCTCGAAAACTATACACCCTCCACTTAACCCGGCCTTTTGAGATAAAATTCGAACCCGACCCGACCTGAAATAATATATTTATTAAAAAATATTATTTTTATTCAATAAAAATAGGAATTTAATTGAAAAAATAATAATATATAGAGTGACATTATTACAATTATCCTTAAATATAAAGATAAAATTATATGTTTTTATCGGGTCGGGTATTTTTCGTCCTAAACTCAAACACGATCCGAGTAGAACACAACCCTAAAAATCCCGACTTGAACCGACTCAAACCTTAACTTTTTTAAAAATATCTTACCCGATCGAGTCGGATTGGGTCTGAACCCATCGAATCCGGATTTCATGCCCATCTCTACGTATGAAAGATTAAAGCACCTCTATGATACCAAAAAAAATCCTTTTAAATTGTTTGTTGACTCGTTTTCGATAAGAAATTACGAATTTGAACTAAAATTCAAAATATAATAACGTAAATTAGTGGAAGGATATTCGTATGTTATGGATGACTGCGAAAGTCAAAATCCAATAAGTTTGGATATTACCTTATTAATTAACGTATGAAAATAACGTTGCTTTTTTTTTTCCAAAACATGAAAAGAATTTATTAAGGACGTCCAAATACGAGTAGTCTAAAAAGGTCAAAATCCAATAAATTTGGATATTATCCTCTTAATTATCATAAGAAAATAATATTACCTTAAATTTCTACCTTCTTATTATTCATTTCATAGGGTTAAAGAAACCAATTAATATCCTCCACAATTTTTCATTTTGTCAAATTAGTTATTATATATTTTTATATAATACCATATCTCCGTAACATAAATAAATGTTTGATTATATATTTTCTTATTAAATAATTTCTCTAGAATTTTTTTTTTCTGATTCAACACCCAAAAGAAAACAACTGATCAATAACCACAATCAGCCCTATGAATACGACAACACCAAAGGCACTGAAAATCACCCACCAATAAGTAACGAAATCGTATTAATTAAAATTATTTATAATATTGTCTTTATTAACAATATATTAAACAATAATTATATATATGTACCCACGTGTGTGCACACCTGATAGACAGATAATACAACGTTTTAAAACAAATATCAGTGCGTGATGTCATTTTCATGGTTTTCAATTTTTTTCTATTCACTTGCTTGAAGGAAAGGCAAATGATTCCGAGTGTAATTGAACCGAATTTGAACAAATAAGATAATGTTTGTGTTTGTTTGTTTAGTTTTAAAGTTATTTATATTTGATTCGTGTTCAGTTTAATTTTTAATTTTGTGTTTTTTATTTATTTTTGAAGGTATTCGTCGTTTAACATTCATTTAGTGTTCACGAACATGTTCATTTAGCGTTCACGAACTTATTCATTTATATATTCAGAAATTAAACAAAACCAAATAGTACTTAAGAAAAATGGTAAACTCACACCACTAGTGTTTAAAATCCTTAAGTCTCATAGTTTAAACTTCATATTTTATCATGTGTTCAATTTAGTCCCTACATTCTCCCTAGAGGTCATGGGTCCAAGCACCGGAAGGGGTCTGAGCACTCATTCTCAATTGGTTGAGAGTCTTTGAACAGATACTACCTTGTATTTACTCCAGATGTATGAAAAAAATGTAAAATAAATAAAAAATAAATGAACGAGTCGATAAACGAGCTTGTTCATGAACATAACAAATTGAATACACCATTGTTCTTGTTCGTTCGTTTATTAAACTAACGTAAAAGTTTTATTCATACTCGTTTATTTAACATAATAAACGAATGTTATATGTACGGTTCACGAACAGTTTTCCGAACATTCTGTTTATTTAACATAAAAATTTTAAAAAGAGATGATTTTATAAAATTCTAGAGCAGTGAAAACATATTTCCAATAGAAAATACATATATTTTTTATAAAAAAAAACATATGATATTTTTAAATTTTTATGGAGTCAATTATCTCACTCGCCCCTCTTCCGTTCATCCTATAGTTGTTTGAATCAGATATTTTGTACTTTTATTTAATTTTGACACTTAAATTCTGGTTAATTTGAGTTATTTGTTTAGATGATTCTGAGTTAAGGCTACTTCAAATTTGTTTACTCAATTTTAACACTCAAATTTAGATCATTTTGAATTGTTCTCTATAACTAAACCAGATTGAATTTAATTTTGATTAAAATAAATTGAAACAAATTTTTACGTTGGAATCAAAACTATCATATCCGAGCAAAATTTTTAGCTCTGCAATTAATGTTGCAGATAAGCTTCATCTAGACGAGTAATGTCGTGTAAAACACTACAAAGTCTAAAACTGTCGAGTCATAGAATTGCAGATTGTGTGGGAAAGGAATTATGAAATGTTCATTGACTGTGATTTACAGCAATTTCGACAATTTTAATAATTTTTTCGTTTGAATATCCTTTTGGACAAATTTAAGATCGTTAGAGATGTGAAAATAATAGGTTAAGATTAATCCATTGTTTTATTTTTCAATAAATATATTTTCATTTCTTATTGTTGATCTCAACTATTTATTTTCACTCATACATCGGTCATAAATATGTGTAAAACTAAAAAAAAATTACATTATATAATTTAATCATATCTTATATATATATAATTACTTGGTTGCTATGTAACCAAGTTTAAGAATTATCCATTAATGTCCATTTCAGCAAGTGAAACTTTGCTAGGTCTCAATCATTCATTCATTATGGTTTGTTTATGTCATACGGTTGAATGTTGAGAGTTGAGAGTAGTTCACATTCACACATGGTTTTGATGGTGGCAATTAATACTATTAGTTGTAGTGTTATTGTCAAAGTTTAAACACAAATGTATAGGTAAGATTGGGTTGTATTCTCATCCCAAAGTCTATTTAAAGGCATAAATGGATGTTTCCTCAGGGATATACATCATCTGAGTTTATTTGGTTGATTGAAAAAATGAACGGTAAAAAGGAGGAGTAGGAAAATGAAAATAAATAATTAAATCGAATATGCTTAATAAGAAAGAAAATAAGAGAAATTGTCATTTAAACACAAGAAATGAATACATGACATTTTAGTCACAAGTGAATGGGTATAAAAGAAATATATTTCATGAGTGAACCTTTGACTATAAGTCTTGCACTATTCCTTGGTATTGATTTATCTTATCTAAATTTCTTTAAGGACTCATTTATTATAAAATTTACTTCAAATACCATATCATTTATCACTTCGTCAACAACATTCATGGCTACACGAGCTTGTGCCTGTGATCTGTTCTTGTTTTGGTGGTCTGGTCATTGATAGCATTGGTACGCCTTATTTCCAACTTTACCACACACATATCAGTTGATTGGGTCGACAAGCTTCCTTTTTTTTTATACTTCTTGAAATTTATTGTCTTCTTATCAAAAATAAAATAATAAATCATTGTCTTCTTGTTCTTTGAACCTGTTAGTTCTAGGACTAGAACTAGGCTCCACAAGATTAACTTTTAAAGGAAGTTGGAGAGAAGATGTAGAAGCCTTATCTTTAAGACAATTGACTTCATTGATCTTTATATGACATTCAGTTTCTTCAACTATATGTCCATCTTCTTGTGTTTCAAAAGGTTGTAGTAAACAAACCATGATTTAGACAACTTTCCAATCAGAACATTTACTTGGAAAATCTCACACATCTTTATTTTCTCAGGTAAAATATTTTAAACGCATTTCTTTCATAAACTTGTACTTACTCCATTATGGGTTGTCTTCTATCATTTGGAATTTGAGCAACTCTCCAATAATGTACTTCTTAATCCAAACATCATTGGCTCCCTATTTCTTATCCAATATGTATACGAAGTATTAGCTCCCTGATGTTGGAAACACCCTTAAAATAGTAAGACTCAATACCACATGACAACCTTTGGTTTACTTAAGAGATAAACTCTAATATACGGTCTTAGGCCCAATGAGTCGTATTAATGACGTAATGGTATTATCGTTGGCCGTAGTGGCGTTAGTATGATAGATGTTGGCCTTAATAGTGTAAGCCTAGATGTTTGTGTGGTCTTAGTGGTAAAAATTATATCATACATACTCGATATATATTGAATTGTAGCCATAATAGTACTCGACTATTATATATGTAACCTTACGGCGATTGAGAAAATAATACAGACACTCGAGATTATACTTATACGATCTTAGTGGTGATATTGATGATACACGTGTATACTATTATGATTTTAGTGGCGAGATCTTGATGGATATTTCAAGATCACATATACTTATATTCGATGCTAGATGAGGTAGAGAGATGATATAATTATATATACGTATTACTCCCTTGTGGGATCTTGATGATGATAATTCATGGTTAGGCCCTTAGATGCAGGCTAAGAAAAGCATGAGATTTGTATTGTTGATGATCAACATGTCATGCCTTGGATTGTAAACCATGCATATACTCATTGCTTATTGTATGTTCTATCAGCATGCTTATATTTATAATATTCATGATATGATCATAGGATTAGCCATATAATACTGAGCTTGTGAAGCTGAGTATTCTAGTCAGGTACGTAGCCAGTATTCTAATACAAGAGGGTGAAGTATAATTAACTATAGAAAATAAGGGAGGGCAAAGTAGAACTAACCATAGATAATAAGGAGACAAAATCAAAATAAAGTAAAATTAGGAGCTCTAATTTAGTATTTGCCCATTTTTTTAATAATAAGGAATAGGGGGTAGTGCCCCAGGACAAAACTTAACTTTGTCGCTGGTTCGAGTGTTTTAGTTCGCAGACTACACAAATCAAACATCAAACTATTTTGTACTACATTCTGATGCAAACTAAACTTAATCAAACCAGACTAAACATTATTGTTGGAATCAATTTAATCAAAGCCATTGATGTACCTTGAGGTTTACAGTGAGGAGGTTCTTCGAAAAGAGACAAAGAGAGCTGTTTATATGCGACAGCAATGTCAAACAAAATAAGACCCAATTTAGGGCTATCAACGATGATGTCTTTAACAGGCAACCAAAGGAAGAGTTCTTCTTGGCTTAAACCGACCACACCAATGAGACTGTCATAGCTAAGGTTAGCCGTCACCACAGTGTTGAAGAAAACCCTATTCTCGTACTTGGTCAGGCACGGTTCGTCGAGGAAAACTTGGAGGGTTCCATTGTCGGACAGCGTGTAGGATTTCACTTCCTTTGGGAGTAAACCTTTTGGTAGGCCTCTCGAGACGAGGAGATCGTGGATCGAAGGCGACGATGACGACGAAGAAGAAGAAGAAGAAGAAAAAGAAGAATGAAAGGATGATATCAAGGAAAAGATTGTGAGGAAATGAAGGAATCTCAAGGGGTTTGCGTTGGTGGTGATGAAGAATGAAAGGATGAGAAAATCTAATTTAAAATGAAATTGTTCTACTGTTTTGAAATTATCTTTTCTTTTCACACAAGCAAAACTCAAATAATTCAAAAAAGAAAATTTGGGTCATCTTTCTGGTCGATATCTTCAAGGCAATCAAAATTATTATTTTCAAAAACCTTAACCCCAAATATAATGATTATATTAATTCATAAACTAGGGTTAATTAGCCCATGAAAGGGTAATATGGTCAAACCTCATCATACGAAGCATTCAACTGATGCATATATTGCAGTGAAGAAGACTGAAACTGTCCTAGTCCTCATTTGTCATAGAAAATGAAGGCCAAACATGTCATTTCATCTACAAATTCAGTTTTCTGTTTTTTATATTATATTTTAATTGGTTTAGATTCAGGTTTATACTTTGTAAAGGGAATAATTGTTAGAGAAACAAAATCTTTCTGACAAAAAGATATATTTATTTACCTTTTTACCATTCAAGGAGAGGAAAAGGGTTTGATGGTAATAACATTAACATTTAAGATGTTATATTGGCAAAATCGATCAAGTAAGCTACTGAAAAAAAAAATCCCCATATGTTGTTTCTTTGAAAGGCATAATGTCAAAATTAACCCTCAATATTTATCAAAATGATCATTTGTCCCTATTCTATTTTTTTTAACATTTTGACCTCTCAACGTTTCATTTTAAAAAAAAATGTTCATAACAGAACAATCACTTTGTTTCCCATTCTTCTTTTTAAGGTATTTTATCTCTTAACGTTTCATTATAGGTTTAAAAATGCTATTATTTTAGAGTGTTAATGTTAACTAATAGTTTTACTATATATAAAAAAAATTACACCAAAGTGAAACGTTAGAGACTAAAATGTTACAAAAAAAAAATATAAACAAAAAATAATCATTTTAATAATGGGCTATTTTTAGCATTATGCCTTAAAACTGTATTTAAAACATGATATTTACTAAATTTTAATATGTTTATATTATGATTTTTAATTTTTTTGACGGGTCTGTATAAATTTTTAATTATTTATCCATTAATTAGATCAATTGAAAAACTATTTTTTATTTTAGGGTCAATGAGTGCGTTACGGCTGGGGAACCTAGGGTAGGTGACCCTGCCCAAACGAATAGATACACGTGGACCAAGTGACCGGTAACTGGCAACTGGCTGACCAGAGAGTCACGAGCATTAGATATTGCTGGATGGATGGGTCTGGGTAAAAGCAGGTATCCGGTTGCGAATTGGTCAACGTGTGGGTCATGAATGTCCCAAACGCGTGATACTTGCTTGACCTCTTTCTATTATGGAATATCCTCTCCCAAACATCTCTCACCTTTTCTTTTTGGGTCAAATTTTCTGGATAGTCCCTCTATTATGTGTAAATTTTGGATTTAATTGTTTTTGTTTTCATTTGATAGACAGTTTATGTTCTTTAAAACTTAAAATTTCAATGTTGATTAAAATAATATAAAGATAATATAACAAAACTATTATATTGATTAATAAATAATAAATTAATAACAAACTTATAATATAAGAGCTAATGACATAATTTAATTTAACAAAATTCACAATTATTGTATGAATCGAGATTAAAATTCTAAAATCTGAAGAGCATAAAATTCAATACCTTATGTCACCACATCTAAAAGTTTGTACCTTATGTGGCATTTGGTTCGTGAAAAAAACCAATACCAAATGGAATAATCTTTTATGAAATTACACTCTCACGTTTGGTTTGCAATCCTTTCCCTTGTGCGACTTATTATCAACAATAGCATTTTTTTTTGGTTAAAATGATATGAATGTCATTCCCTCTCAATTCTTAGGTGTTGTACAATTCCTGACATGCTGGATAAGATTATCCTTAAAATAACGACATTGTGTATAATGAGTAATCATTTACGAAAGTGATGAAGTATTTATGATCTTGTAAATTCATATATGGTTAACATATATTAGAATGAATGATTTAGAGTGGATTGTACATTTATCAATTCAGTGGTCACTTTCATTACTAGAGTGATTAGAGGTGTTTTTATAATTTTACCTACTTGGGAGTATTTTGATAATTTATCTCTCTTGAGCTAGTATGATCACTAAATACATTTAGGCCTTCTCTTTTATTCTATCGTTAGTTATGCGTCAATCCTGAGAATATTTTAGAGGGTAAATTTTATCTTTTCAAGTAATATCAATATCAGACATGGGCTTTGAAGTAACAATTAAAAAAAGGCTTATTAAAGGCCAGGACAAAAATTGGTTATTACACCAAGTTTTGAAAAAAATTTGTAAGATTATATACAAAACAATACTTGTGATAGGTGGAGGGTCAATCCAAGTGACAAACAAAATCCAATTCACTAAAAACAAAGAAAATAAATTAATTAACGGAAAAGGAATGTTTGATGAAAGAGAGTCAAGATCCACTTAAGAATAAATTATTATATGCTCACATATTAGAGGTCTAAGAAATAATATATTATCGGGTTTACAAATTTTGACTTATTAGAATATAAATATAAAATTTTGTCACATGAACTGTTAATTACCGATTAAATAGAAAAACCACTAAAGTTATTTTGTGACAACAAATTTACAGTACTTTATTTCATATGCAACATAAACACATTAAACTCTAAGAACATATACATTAAGTTTATGATTATTAAAAAAATATCAGAGTGGTTAAATGTTTATAGAACATATTGGTATAAACTCATGACTGCACGCTTACTAAGAGACTATCACCCTAGGTCTTTCATGAATACATTACTCATGATTGTGCGCTTACTAAGGGATTATCACCCTAAGATATTATTCAAGGGACTATCATGTTGAAGATATGAATTTTAAGTCCCAAATTTGGTAACAATGTACATTAAATCAGTAATTTGCATGAAATAATACAAATCTATCGGCCTATTGTTCATTTTAAGATCTTTGGATACATAAGATATGCCTTATTATAGAGTATACTCATTGTTTTTAATTTCTTATGTGACATTATAGGCTCCAAGACAGATGGACAGAAAAAAGAAGCGATGTTGTTTTAGCTTCATTAGTTAGGTGATTGGACTGGTGTAATGTAGAATGTTTACGTACGCTACACTATGTTCGGGATTGAGCATGGCTTTATGATTCCAAAAAGTGAGAGAAGGATATTCGTTTCATTACATTAAATTTCAATTTGAATAAAGATTCCAATAAATCATCAATGAAATATATCATTTGAGCGAATATAACATTAGTGAATGTGCCGTATGTTTCAGTTCTGAATTTTGGGTATTTAGAAATGCTAAAGGCTTGAACGGACTGAAAATCCGAATCAGATTTAAGAACTTTCATGCCGGAGTTCGGAATGGTATGACAAATATATGAGCAAACTTTGCCATTAATCGAAGCCAATAGACGTACACGCATTAAGCATATATGCAATATACGAAGAATTATTGTTATGCAAACTTTGTATAAAAAATATAATATGAATGCACAAATTGTGATTTTTGTAGTAAATCGAAATCAGGCAGCTGCCTTGAGTTTCTTGGCGATGCTGGCGATGTACTTTCCTTGGTGAAAAGCCTGTGCCAACTCAAGTTCAGATGGCACCCTTGATCCATCCCCGGCGTAGGTTCCAGCGCCGTAGGGACTTCCTCCTTTCACTTGCTCCATCTCGAACATGCCTGCACCAAAGGTGTATCCTACGGGAACAAATATCATGCCGTGGTGAACGAGCTGAGTGATTGCAGTCAACCTGCGTTAAAATTGGAAAATATATTCAGATACTGGTTAGGTTTTCATCATCCCATTTTAGTTTCTGGGTGCAGGAAGTCTTATTATATGAGAAAACATACGCTGTAGTTTCTTGTCCGCCACCCTGAGATCCGGTGCTATAGAAGATCCCAGCAGGTTTTCCTGAAAGTTGCTGAGTTCTCCATAGACCTCCAGTTGCATCCAGAAAAGCTTTGAATTGCGCAGACATCATTCCGAATCTTGTCGGGAACCCAAAAACAAACCCATCGGCCTCAGCAAGATCATTCGGTGTAATAACAGGTACATCACTTTTTGGCGGTGCACTCATCTTTCCAAGAACCTCTTCTGATAGAGTTTCAGGGACCTATACCACATATATATCCACAGTTATTCCACTTTTACCAAATCTACACGATTAATAAATAATCAATCATAACTACTCATCCAATATGAACTTGCAAGTTGCAACACCGAGGTTTTGCAAAAATCGGATAAACAAATGAAATACAGTGACTCGAATCAAGGAAGGAAATGCAAAACCTAAGCATATTTGCAATGATTTCATCAATAAAGAAAAGTAACCAGAGAAAACCACACAAGTTGTAATAAGCGATGGACAGTAACATATGTGAGTAACTAACACAACTGCAGACAAAGATTTCTTACAGGGAATAAGTTCAAGGTTCTCAAAGACAGACATCAACATGTCATAATATTTTTCTTTTCTACAAAACTAAAATAGAAAAAGAAGAGAGAAAAATAAAATTCAGATGGGGATGGAACAGTTGAAACGAAGTATTTATAACGAATCTTTTACCTTATATTAGTCCATTGCAAAAGAAAGCAGGTTATTCAAACCATAGCAGCATATGGTGCACCATTATTACCTGCCATAATTTGGCTTCAACGCCTTCAACAGATGCAGCCCCTTTCTTTATCTCCTCTGCAAGTTTTTCTACATGTCCGTACATGGAATAGTATCTGTAACAACAGATAGAAGATTTTATCAAAATTCATCCAAATCTGCTGCAATGCTGTGATGAACACCTACTTGTTCTAACCGGGCAAACAGCTCAGTACTGTTATGCTAAATATTCCTAATATCAGAGAACCTCAGATTACAACTCTCCTATAACAGCAAAACCCGGAAATACAGTACCGTTCAACCAGCTTACCTTACACCGATATTTATCTATAAAAAGTACAGGGCAGAGGGCTGTAAGGTGAACGCTGTGATGAACAAGTTGATAGTAAAACAAAAATATTAACTAACCAGTATCAAACTAGAAGATTGAGTGCTTGATAACAATTGCATGGGATATACCTAATCACCAAAATGGAGAACATGCTATGCCTGACATAATAGCTCATTATAAAGGAGAATTGTTTCATAAAATTTAGATGCCAAATGTTGAATGCAAATGATGCTATAAAATTTATCTCAAGTTAATTGCATAGGTAACATACAGAGTCATTGTTTCAAGTTCTGGCAAAACAGATGAGTGCAAAGTAAGCGACAATGAAAGCATCCAGAGTGCTGAGAAAGTGTATACAATTTAAAGTAATATAGTAAATCTATAAGCATGCCAAATGTAAGTCCAACATATGGTACTTACAAAACAATAATTACGTAAATTAGTCTCCTAAACCCATTACGACCATTCAAATGCCTTTAATTTCTTGAGAAATTGCTTTATTCCGAGAAAAAAAATAAAGCGCTTGCTCCATATTATTGACTCAAGCATCAAATAGGGAACAACATCGTGTGATATTGACTCAAGCATACATATAGGGAAGAGTTGCGAGGTACATGCTGATTCATCTGAAAATTCATTAACTTGTCGGTGAGAAAAATGAAGGGCCTCCCTTAAAACCACTATCTTACCTCCATATTATTGTTCAACAAAGACGAGTTCCTCGCACAGATATATGCTTTGGTTATTAAATCATCTCTGACAGTGGGACACAAATCCCTTGTTAATGCACATTCATCTTTAATACAGGTACTAACACATTCAAAGATTAAAAGAAAACAAAAGAAAAACTTGTAGGTGAATAGAAAAAGGATCCCCTTAAGACCAACAACTACCTGACTACCTACACATTATTGTTAGACAAATACAAGTTATTTACATGGGCTATATGTTTTGGTTATCAGATCAAAACAGACGTCGAGACAAAAATCCCTTGCATACAGTTTCTTTTTTAATACAAGTACTAACACGCATTTAAAGATTAAAAGAAAAACCGACATCTTAGTGGTCAGTAAACAAAAGGACCCCCTCAAAACTGAGAACTACCTGGCTGCCTCCATATCATTGTTACATAACTACAAGTTCCTTACCCACGTTACATATTTTACTTGTCAAATCATCTCAGACAGTCGGACATAATTCCTTTCTTAATGCACATATAATTTCATTGTTAAAGTACAAACACACCTTGAAGATTAAAAAACCAACTTGTCGGTGAGTAAACAAAAGGACCCCCTTAAAACCAACAACTACCTGACTATCTCCATAATATTGTTCAACAAATATAAAATTACTTACAAAGATTATGTGTTTTAGTTATTAAATCATCTCACACGTTGTTAATGCACATAGAACTTTATATTTACTACAGGTAGTAAAGATTGATCCCAGATAGCATAAGGATTTTAAAAGCTACATCCCAAATCAGAACAAGAAAACATAGCCTTGTGAACAACCGGAATCTTTGTACACCATAGATTTCAAGAAAGAATAATAATAAAAACTTATAAGAAAGCAGAATTCAGTTAAGAATTCATCGTTTTCAAACTAAAAAGTGTTCAGGACAGAATCAATTCGAACACTACACTTTAAACTAAAAATTGACCTTATAAATAATAAAATAGCTACAATGATCACATTGCCAGCAAAAAGATAGACTTCAAGGGTTATTTCTCAACTAAAACACTGCGAAAATCAGAGGAAAAAACTAATTGGGCAGTGCATTTCCCGGAATGAAACCGGAAATTGATTTCTAACATGAACAATTAAAACTCACATTTTTTCAGCTCCCGAAAATTACAAATATACGACTGAAAACTAATCGTTACTCAAATTACTGAAAAAATTAATAGCAAATCCGAATTTTCTGTTAAGATATAAACTGGGAAAAAAACAGAAAAAACTTAGTTGCAGAGTCAAATCAGAGTGAAGAATCTTTTATCAAAAAAAAATTAGATCGAAGGATATAAGAAAGAAACGAGAATAATCACGAATCAAACTCAACCGAAGTACAAATCAATCAAAGATAAAAACTAACAGTTATTCACAACCAAAAAACGAATCTAAAAACTAAAGAAAAGAGAGTGAACATTTGTTAAAATACGTACACAATATACAATTTGGTTGCCATGGATGAATTTCTCTAAAAATCTCCACCGCAATCTTCTATTGTTTCTTCTTTACACTATAAAACAATGGTTGACGAATGAGTGAGTATGGGAAAGCCAATAAGTTCAATTTATAGAGTTGCACACTATGGGTTTAATTTATTTTTTTAATTTAAATTTTACTTTTTCTATTTTTTTTTTTAAAAAAAAAACTCCCAATGCCACAGGACCCGAACTCGATAGATTTCGACCTAATTTAATCTTTTACGGTCGGATTTTTTCTTAAAAAATTGAATTCATGTTGAGTTTTTTTAAAGAATATGTTCGAGTCAGGCCAAGTTCGAGTTTAGGGTGAAAAATACCCGACACAACTCAACTCAACCCAACCCAAAAAATAATATGATTATATATTATATTTAGGTATAATTGCAATAATATATCTTTATATACTATTTTTCCAATTATATATATATTTTTATTGAATAAAAATAATAATTTTAAAAATATATTTGTTCCGGGTTGAATTCGGGTTTTATTTCAAAAGATTGGGTTGGGTCGAATTCGGGTTTTATCAGATTGTGTTGGGTCAGGTCAGGTGTAGTCATTCTAATATCGGTTGGGTTGAGTTTTCAGATGAATGAAGTATATTTTTTGGTCGGAGCGGGTTGATCGGAAACCGATCCATGCTCCTCCCTAAACTCCCTTAAATATATGATGTTTGAACTTAAAGAGATAATAATATTTTTTTAACCATTAAGATAACTTCCCTATAATTTATTTTTTTTTAGTTGGAGTTGTTAGTAGGTTTTGTATTTATATCATTATGATTTATTGAAGTGAAAGAGAAAATTAACTTATTTTAAAAATATTTTATTTTTCGTAAAATTATCGTTTCTAAATAAAATTAGTTTAATTCTTTAAATTGTGTTATTTATAGTGGCAAATTTTCATATTTTTTTTTGGTACAATGCAAATTTTCAAATTTAAACCTTAGATGACCCACTTTATATTATTGATAAAAAAATAATTTATTGCTTTTTTATTAAATCAATTTAGTTTCGATCTAAATTAATAAATTATTTAAAAATATTTAAAGGTAAATAGAATCATTTTATTTTTGAATAGGTGTATTTTGTGGTTAAATGTATAAAAAATTACCAATAGGCTGTGCATTTGTATCATTATAATTTATCGATGTTTAAAAGAAATCAATTGAATTATAAATTTTCAATTTTAAAATAAAAATAGTTTATCTTTTTAAATAATTTTGTTTATAGCGGCAAAATTTCATCACATCTTCTATTATTGATGAATAACTATTTTCTCAATAGTTTAAGTAACATAAATTTTTAGATTAATAAATAATTTAAAATGTTTAAAGTTAAATGGAATGTTTTGTTTTTTAAGATGTGTATCTTTTGATACAGTGGTATTATATATAATTTTATTTTACAGACGCATAAAATATCTATTTTATTCAATGGGATTAATTTTTTTGTTAATATTATTTTTTATAAAAAAGGATAATATTAGTTTTATTTAATGGTGGCATGTTGTTGTCACCTCATCATCATTGGTCGTTGGAATATTAAATACAACATGGTATTCATCTAGAAGATTTTATATTTTACTCTTTCTTCTTTTAATTTCTTTTATTAAATTTGTTGATCAATAAATTCCATTAATTTTGTAAGGTTTGATTTGATTGTTCTAGGTATACCTTTTTTCCTTTTTTTTCTTTTCCTGTAATAAATGCGATAGATGGATTTTAAAAATTACTTTTATGACAATTATTGTTGTCAGTGATTGAACTTTTTTATTAAACCTGTATTACTAAACTATATTCATTTGATTATAACTTATATTAGTTTTGGGTAAAGTACACAAATGGTCCATCGACTATAAGATACTATTTTGTTGAGTCCCTAGACTATTAACGTTACAAAATGATCACCCAATTATTCATTACGTTTCAAACTCGTCATTTTCCATTACAAATTATTAGTAGTCTGAGCTGGATGTTAACATGTTGAATGAGATATGATTGTTATTTGAGATTATGAGATCAAATTTTACCATATCTCTGTCAACATGTTAACATCCAACTCAGAGTACCATTAATTTTTTAACGGAAAAGGACTAGTTTGAAACGTTATGAATAGTCAGGTAACCATTTTGTAATATTTAATAGTCAAGGGACTCAACAAAACAACTCCCTATAGTTGGGGGACTATTTTGTAACTTTTAATAATCATGATACTCAATAAAGTAATATCCTATAGTCAAAGGACTATTTGTGTACTTTGCCCTTTCATTTCTAGTTCAATCTTAGATAAATTTTTTTATAAACAAATATTTTTAAGATTTTAATTTTATCCTAAAAATCAGATCAAATTTTTTATAAACTTATAAATTGAATTTCAAATGAACATATATATTTTTTTGGTAGATTTGGATTGATCGAAAATCCTACAGATATCTATCCCTATCCGAGACCAAATCCAATGATTTAGATTTGGGTTATTATATTAATTATAAATTTGATATATTTTAAGAGGATTAATGGGAATTGGGGTCCAATAAAGAAAAAAAATGTGAACAAAAAGTGGTATTTGATGGTGTCTCGCAATGGCAAAAAGGCATTTTGAATTTGCGAAATCAAACAAATGACTGCGTGACAGAAACGGTATGACGTCTCCCATATTTTATGTCCATCAGTATAACTTGTGTATAACCGATTTTTTATTCAATTAAAAGTATATATAAAATATAGTTTGTTGAATAGTTAATCAAATTTTTAATGTGCCATTTTATATTATTTTCACTCAAGATTTTATCGTTAAAGAAAATGAATCTTATAAGAAATAAAAATCATATTTATCTTAAACATTTATGGCATTTTAATAAATATAGGATATCAATATGCAAAATCCAATGGTTCATCTCATGATAATTATTTTTCTTTTATAGATATGAGGTAATTACAAAATAGTATTTGTTTAAAATGTTTCATATTTATTAACGACACACATTGCAAATGTAACTATTCTAACTTAAAATATTTAGAAAAACAACACTCTATTTTAATATTAAGATCGTTTTGTTGTTTAATTCATTATAATAATTATCTAGACATATATATTTTTTATGTTGTCTTGAAAAATTAAACAAGTTTCCACATGATTATTTGTCTTGATGTTTTCTTACCTACCTATAAATAGAATCAATGAGAAATCAAATCTTAAGTCAATTAACTTATATTATTGTTAATAATATATATTTAATAAATTTAAGAGTCAAATATTAATGCTCCATTTGGTTTTAAAAAATATAGACTATTTTTATTTTATTAAAAAATAGAAAACGTGGAAGGAAACGCGTTTAGTGGTAAAATTAAAAATGATTTCTATAAAATGAAAACAAAAATAAGAGAAAATTTCAAAACAAATAAATGTTGTTTTCAGTGTTTTCTTAAAAATTATTTTCAAGAATTAAAAGAATAAAAAAATTATGGGTTTAAGTTTTAACTTACAGAACAAATAAAGCATCCATGTTTATATCTCCAATTAATCAAAAGAACATCAATGCTTTGCAAAATCTAAGCTTCAATGGCATAATCGATTCTAAAACCTTCAAAACTTGTGTTCCTCACATAACTTACAACTCGTACTTTGAGAATTTTTCAACAACGCCGATATTTATATATGTTTTGCTAAAATTTATGATATAATTGGAGAATCTTTCTATAATTCTTACTTTAAGGTAATGCTCTTCTCAAAAAAGATTATATGTTTTAAGAGTTATAGTCATACTAGACTTAAGCAATGGTCAAATTTATGTAAAAATCTTCTTTGCGTCAGAAACAATTACTATCTTTCAAGGTCACTAACACTTGATTTTTCTGCCTATTAATTGTTCTTTGCATCGAATGAAATTAAAATCTTTGTATAACTACTTGTTAATTTAATTTAATTACACAAGTTAAAATTCTAATAATATCTTTCGATTTAATTCAGATTTAATTATTTTTACTTTAATACAACTTCAAATCCTAATAAAAGTATCTTTCTTTTATATCACATTTAATTATTGTTTTTTATGAAGAAAAAGGTTGTAATTTTTTTATTGATTTCAAAACTTTCAGTTATTTAATCATATTACATTAATATTACTATATTTTTTAATATTTATATTTTAATTTAATTATTTAATAATTATTTGTTTATTTTTATTTTTAGAAATTTGGTAGCAAACACATTTTCATTATTTTCGTTTTTTTAAAATAAGTTTTATTTTTATTAACTAAACAAATTTTGTACTTTTTGGAAAACTGAAACTGAAAGTTGTTTTTTGAAAATAAAAACAGAAAATATTTTCTTGAACCACTTATACAATGTAAAACTCTTTAGTTTTACATAGATTTAGGACGATTAGATGATTAAAATAGATGGTTGAGATTGACTCCTTGATTTTTTACAATTTAAGGTTTAAAAACTCTTTTGTAAAGTTTTCTAGATTTTATTTTAACCAATAAGACAATAACACAAATTATCATCTTATTATTTGGGGTAAAGTACACAAATAATCCATCGATTATAGGGTGATTCTTTATTGAGTCAATCGACTATTAAAAATTACAAAATGATTCTTCGACTATATGGTGTTGCTTTGTAGAGTTCCCCGACTATTAAAAGCTATAAAATGGTCACCGACTATTTAGTATGTTCCAAACCCGTCCTTATCCATTAAAAATTGACGATAGTCTGAACTGAATGTTAACTTGTTGACTGAGATATGATAATTTTTTTAGATTCTATGATCAAATTTGTTTCATATCTTAGTCATCATGTTAACATCCAACTTAGTATACTGTCAAATTTTTAACGAAAAAGGATGAGTTTGAAACATATTAAATAGTCGGGTGACCATTTTATATCTTTTAATAGTCGGATGACTCAACAAAACAACACCCTATAGTCGAAGAACCATTTTTTAATTTTTAATAATTGAGGGACTCAACAACACCGCCCTATAGTTGAGGACCATTTGTATACTTTACCCTATTATTTAAATAAAATTCTTAAAAAATAATACATAGATCGTTGACAAGAAAATATATTAGAAAAAATGAAAAAAAAAATAGCAAAAGAGAAAATGAGAATAGGTTGATTTCTTAGGTTCTTAACCACAAATTTGTATGGTATGAGAGATTTTCCATATCTTTTTCTTGCCTTCCTTTTGTTCACAATTTTTTTATGATTAAAGGGGAAATTGCTGATATTCAACATCTTCACAATCTTCCTACTTGGGTTTTGGTCGGTGAACTTTTGTTGGTTTTCGACTTCCTCTTCATTTTCCTCTGCATTTAAACACGGCACTTAAATTACATTTTATTTACGTTTCCCGATAATTGATTGTTTAATTTTAAACTATTAACTTACATTTTCTGGGAAATTGATTGTTTAATCTCAAACGATATTACAAATCCCGAGTTTAAGTTTGTCGTTTCTATCTTTTCCTACAACTTTGCTTTTACAATTTAATTTTAAAGATGATTTTTTCCAATTTAGAGAGAAGTGGAAACATCATATATCTGGCTGCCTCACATATGGCTAAATGTGATTGATTAGCCACAAAGAGTTATCCGCGTGTCTGCAACATAGAGGACCACCAAGTTGTGCAGAATCAAGACGATTCATCACGGTATATCCCATAGGATCTAATCTATTGCTGTCCATACAAATGTAAAATCTTTCATTTCCAAACTGAAAAGCAACCACTTGTATGTCATCCATAGTATATAAATAGGCCTCTTTAGCTTCATTTTCTATCACCTCAAAACGAAATCGTTCTCTGCATATCAGCCATGCTCGAGGGCAAAGCAGTCATTGGAGACACTGATATGCTTCAGACCATGCAGCAAGATGCTCTTGATCAAGCTGCTAAAGCCCTCGATTTCTTCGACGTCACCGAGGCTACCGGGATAGCACAATTCGTAAAGAAGGTTAGACAACAAGTACATGTCATTTTTGTTCCTACTTAAATAAACACATCATGGTTGGGTTTCTAATTCTCGGTTGGTATTTGATGAAGGAATTTGACAGAACATATGGAGGTGGGTGGCAATGCATCGTGGGAACTGATTTTGGTTCATTCGTGACACACAGCTCCGGCTGTTTCATTTATTTTTGCGTCGGCAATCTTGCCATTTTGCTTTTCAAGGGTTCGTTAGTCTGAGCCAACACCAGTTTAATATACTGAAGAAACACTGATTTCTTCACTCTTTATCTGCTTAGTCCACAAATATTGTCACCAAAATGAAAGGAAATAAAGTTTTCAACTTCAGTAATCTGTAATTTTTTTCCCACATTAGGCTCCGGCCAATGAAGTACGAATATGGACATACGATAAGACATTGACAATCATACAGCAATACGGATACAACAAGATATGAGAATGAAATATATATCATATGCTTTTATATGCACAAGTATTCAATATAAATATTTTTAATATAATCAATAGTTTTGATAAAAGATTATTAATTTATACCCTAAATAAAATCAATCTTTAAATTCGATTTCAAAGAAAGAAAGTAGAAGCTATTGTTGAGGCTGAAAAGAAAGAGGAAGAAAAGCTGAAAAGAAGGAAGAAAGGTAGAGTATGAAAAGAAAGAAGGAAAACAATGGTTGTGGCTCAGAAGAAGGAAGAAAAAACAATGGCGGAGGCCAAAAAAAAAAAAAGAACCCAAGATAAAGCAAGAGAGAAAATGGAAGAAGGAAACTGAGTAAATATGTAATGTGGGGAATAGTCTAGGGAAGTCCGCTAATGTGTCATATCAATATTTTGTCGTTAAAATTTAATAAAAAATTTGAAGTATTATTTAAAAAATAGTATAATTACACAAATGATCTTCAATACTTATATATTCTATTAATTTGATCATGATTTTTATTTAATTCAATAAATTTAATCTTCAATTGTATGGTAACACATGTCACTATCTAATTTGAGAATATTTTTAATTTATTTAATTTAATAAAATTTCCATCCAAATAGTGTCACCACTTTATTGATGATGAAAATAAATGTAAGAATAACAAACATTAGGCAAGTTTGAATCCAAGACTAGGGGAATCCGAGCATGCCTCACTCACTCGACCAAGTCCATTATTTGTTAATTAATTTCGACATTGAGGAATAATATGAGGTGATAAACTTAAATAATTATGTTGTTTTACGGATAAAATTGAAAGTTAATTGTCAAAATAAAAAGTGGCAATAGTTGTGTGGTGATGAGTATAGTTTACCCAAAATTTAAAATTGAAATCTTTAACCTTATATAGTAAACCTCAAATTTCACTAAAGATTGCAGGGACGATCAATTTTAGAAATCAAACTTGAATAGGAGTGTTTGAGCATGAATGAAATATCTTTGGTGGTTAAAATAATGATTATTATTTTTATTTTGTTTTAGATTTGAGCATGACATTTATAGGGAAGGTCAAGTGTTTTATTGTCAAAATGATTGAGATTTTTTAAAATAAATACTATTTTGTAATTATCTCAAATTAATAAAAAAGGGTAAAGTACACAAATGATCCCCCATTATAAGACGTTTTGTTGAATTTTCCTACTATTAAAAGTTGTAAAATAGTCCACCGACTAAAGAGCACTGTTTCGTTGAGTCCCTTAACTATTAAAAATCTAAAAATGCTCATCCAACTATTCATATGTTCTAATTTTTTGTTAAAAAATTAGCACACGTATGAGTTGAGCGTTAACATGTTAATTGCATGTGATAAAATTTAACCTTAAAATTGTTTGAGTTGTATTTTGTGAATCGACTATCCATTTACATTTTGTCGTCAAGATTTTGGATTAAAATATTATGTCGTCAAATCAATGTTTGAAAGCAATGGCGGTGCCAATAGACATCATTAAAATATGATTTTATCGTATCCCGATCAACAAGTTAACATCCAATTCAGGTGATCATTAATTTTTTAACGGAAAAGATAATGGCGGTGCCAATAGACATCATTAAAATATGATTTTTCTCGTATCCTGATCAATAAGTTAACGTTCAATTCAGGTGATCATTAATTTTTTAACGAAAAAAATAAGTTTAGAACATATAAATAATTGAATGACAATTTTGTAACTTTTATTAGTAGAAGAATTCAATAAAATAACGTTATGTAATTAAGAAATTATTTAATAATTTTTAATAGTTATATAACTCTACAAAACAACGTTATATAATTAGGAGAGTAATTAAGCAATTAAAAAAAACACGAGCTTTTCACCATGAGACCCGCTACGCCATATTCCACCCCTAAGCCGGATTACCTGGACCGGGTTCTTGTCTCCCCCAAAATCTCTCTCATTTTTCCCTCCCTTTTTCTTCTTTGAATTCCGCGCCGGATTTTACTTTCCCACTTTCTCAACTTAATACGAACATTGGAAATTTTTACACTTCATAATACGTATTTGGCAGCTAATATCGTGCTTCTCTCTCTTCAATTTTTATTTGATTTACTTGATGTTGAAAATTGAGTTCTTCATGTTTATATTTTGATTCCTTTTGAATTATTTCACTTTCTCTTGACATTTTCTGTTTGTTTTTCAAGTTTTTGAGTTTAGAGCCTTATCTATTACCATGACGGACTCAACAAGGTAAAGTTTCTCCCTTCTTTTTTTTTCCTTGAATGTTTGATTATTATATATTGAAGAAAAGAAGTTTCCAGAGAGGACACTAGCGACGCACTTCGGATACTTGTAGATACGGATTGTCATTTAGGTTATATGGAGAAAGATGAAATACGACGACATGATCCATTTCATTCATTTGATGAAATATGTTCAATAGCAGAAGAAAAACAGGCGATTTTCCCTTAAATTTTTTATACTCACAATAACCTGGAATTTCCATCTTAATTTCTTGTAAAGTTAAGGTTTTCTTCTTCTTCTTCTCGGTATTAGTATGCGCTGATTGTAATTTGGTATTAGGTGGTCTTTCTACTACTTGGAGGAGATCTTTTCCATGAAAACAGGCCTTCGTGGTCAACTTTAGTTAATGCCATTGAGATTCTTCGTCGGGATTGCTTTAACGATCAACCGGTGCAGTTTCAAGTTTTTAGCGACCAGACTGAATTTTCCAAATTCGTACTGGTTTTCACTCTTTCTCCATGTCACGAGCTGCTGATTTAATGTCTAAATTTTGCCTTGCATTTTTAGTACTCATTCTCAAACTTTTGTGCCCTAATGAGTTTTTTTTGGGGGGGTTAAATTTATTTAGTCAAATTAAAGTAAGTTATTTACTTGCTTTGTGATGTATATGCACTCAATGTGCAAATATGCTTCTTTTATTGGTTGCTTGATAGCTGGTTCACACATTTAGTTTGTAAAAAGCGTTTTCTCTTTACAGATTTTGACATGTGAATTGTGAATTATGAAGATCCTCACTTCAATGTTGGCTTGCCCGTATTTAGTATTCATGGAAACCATGATGATCCTGCTGGAGTGGTAAGGACTAAGGAATTCATCAAAACATGATCCCCCTTTCCTTGTATATGTATTTTTTTTTTCATTTTATAGATAAATCCTACTTGCTCAAACCCTTTTCTCCACTTTTGGTGTCCCATCCTATGCTTGCGTAATAAGTTTTCATATTTCACTAGTGCCATGTTTACTTCCTATTTGATTTGTTAGATAATCAAGTTTTTGTATATTGCAAAAGTCTTGCTGTTCCTAAAATTACTATGAGCATTCTGTTCCTAACTGTTTATTGGTGACAGGACAACCTTTCTGCTTTTTATATTCTTTCTGCATGTAACCTTGTCAACTATTTTGGGAAAATGGTTCTTGGGGGTTCAGGTGTTGGTCAGATTACACTCTATCCTATTCTTATCAGGAAGGTCTGCTAGTCATTTGGTTGACATGGTCTAGAATGGTAACTGTATATTCATTGGAAAACTTATGTCTTTTTGAATTGCTCAACTGCTGTAGCTCTTTATGGTCTTGGGAATATCAGAGATGAGCGGCTCAACAGAGTGTTTCAGGTAATCTACAAATTAACATTGATAATTTTTTGCATCTCATTCGTTTCTGACTCCTTGGATTTTCTGTTAAAATACCTGTTTGTGGTTTATATTTGGTTTCTTAGACACCTCATGCTGTGAATGGATGCGAACTGAGCCTCAAGAAGGATGTGAACTGTCCGATTGGTTCAACATTCTGGTAATTCATCAGAACAGGTTGTGTGTGTTGCAATTCCATGTCTGCGTGTCTCATGTTCTGCTTTGTGATAGAGTTATTTCATGCATGACCAAATTAGAAGTGGAAAAAAGTTACTATGGTGTAAATTCACACGTGGATATATTAAAACGTTTTATGATTTGGCTTGCAGAGTGAAGATGAACCCTAAAAATGCTATAAATGAGCGCTTCTTACCACGCTTCCTTGATTTAATAGTGTGGGGACATGAACATGAATGTCTTATTGAGCCTCGGGTGATTGAATCATAAAATCTTTTCTGTCTTATTGTTTATCTCTTTGAGGATGCAAAAGACTGAAGGTTTATTTTAATTTTGCAGGAAGTACTAGGGATGGGATTTCACATTACTCAACCAGGTTCCTCTGTTGCAACGTCACTGATTGATGGAGAATCAAAGCCGAAGCATGTGCTCCATTTAGAAATAAAGGTTGTGTGTCTTTGAAAGATTAGATTTGCCATTTAATCAATCAGCATCTGTTTCTTCATTATATTTCAGTCCATGATTTGCTGGTTGTTTTATAGGGAAATCAATATCGTCCAACCAAAATTCCTTTGACATCAGTGAGGCCTTTTGAATATACGGAGGTAAAGCAGAGCCGTTTTCAATTATTTTTAAAACTATTTGAAAAGGAAGAAGTTGAGACTGATTTTTTATCTTACTCATGTTCATGATTTAGGTTGTGCTGAAGGACGAACCTGATATTGACCCGAATGATCAAAACTCAATTCTTGAACATTTGGACAAAGTGGCAAGTGTCTTTCTTGCATGGGATAACGGTTTTGGACTTTTTTGAGTTCCTGCATTTTCTAATAGAGCAGTCAAACAGATTAAATCTTTTAAGTATTTATGGTAGGAACAAAATCCTTTGTCAAATTTTTAGCAATAACTTAAATTTTGTTTTAGGTAAGCGATCTGATAGAGAAATCTCATAGGAAAGCTGTTAATGGATCAGGGGACAAGCTCTGTTATTATGTTAGAATAACAGAATATTATAATATTAGAATGTTAATAAGATTAATTAGTATATGTTATTCCGTTAACACTTCAGTTAGTTGGTTAGCAGCTTGTTAGTGGGCTATATAAGCCTAGCAATGTAATGGATTAAATCAAGCATATTTTGTAATTCGTTTTCACATTTTTTAGTAAAACACAATTTCTTGTTGCTCATCTCTTCTTCACGCACACTAATCGTTCCTCATTTCTTGGCATCGATGACCTCTTTCTCACATGGTATCATTCGCCAAACGGTCCTGACTTCGTTTTTCTTCTGCTGCATGGAGTTTTTTTGGCTCTATCGTGATTGTTTCTGCCGTCGTTAATGCTGTGTAAGTACTACTCTCTTGCTGATATGAATATGAATCTTCGCCGTTTTTCTTCTCAATTGCCGATTTTCTCTTTCTCTATCAATGTCAATGGTTTGTTAGTTTGAATCTCACTACTCTAAATCATTGTTGCGGTTGTTCGAATGTTCTGTCATCGCTGTTATGTTAAGTCATCTACGCCTGGTACTTCCTCTGATGTATCGTTATGAGGTCCTTCTATGCTTGGTCTGGTCTCTGTTCGTCATAGCTAGCAATGTTTCGACTGAGCATTTGCTGCTCGTAAGCTGTTTGACAAAATGCCTGAATGAGCTTTTAGGTGCGCCAATGGATTGTGCAACAATGATGTGTTCTCGTTCAATCTCTTCTTTGACGTCACATATATTTGATTTGGAAATCATCTTTGAGTTCTCCGGTGAGATCTATAATTTTGTTTCACGGTTCTCTATCGTGGGTTTAACACCAAAACATGGTCATTATCGTCGAAAATCCTGTAGTTCTTATGGTTCCTCTGGGTGTGTGTGTTGCTCTACCAATTTGCGTGGATCGTCTTTGCGTGGTGAGTTCGTCTCAAGCGCACATAGTGTCTGCTTCTAATCGCGATCAATGGGATTGATCATAGTGGACCACAGGGAGCAGGATCACTCTTGGAAGCTAATGGTATGGTAAATTGTTAGAGTTTTTTGAATAGTTTGTTTACATTTAGAGTTTGTCGGGAGTTCAATTTCTTGCTGCCATTGGAAACAAATTTTGTTCGTACTAGTTTCTTGTGGATGTGTTGCACGCTATTGCATTGCTGGTTATTTTGGATTGTGCATCATCATGATTTGTTGCTTCTATCTCAAAGTGTTATGGGACTTGAAAGCTTCACAGCCAAGTGTTCGTGGGAAAAAAATGTCAAGAAACCTTGTATAAGAGGATGAAGAAGAAAGAAATGAAGGTGAATAAGAAGAACGAAAGGTAGCATCGACACGTTCGATTCAAGTCGAACAGAAGGAATCATCGGCACTTTCGGTTCAAGTCGAACGGAAGGAAGCATCGGCACTTTCAATTCAAGTCGAACGGAAGGAGGCATCGCACTTTCGATTCAAGTGTTCATCTTTTTATCAAGAAGGTTGAAGAAGTCGGGTGAATGTTAGAATATTAGAATGTTAATAAGATTAGTTAGTATTTGTTATTCTATTTTGGTTAGCAGGTTGTTAGTGGGCTATATAAGCCTAGCAATGTAGTGGATTAAATCAAACATTTTTTGTAATTCATTCACATTTTTTTAGTAAAACACAATTTCTTGCTGCTCATCTCTTCTTCACGAACACCAATCGTTCCTCGTTTCTTGCCATCGATGGCCCCTTTCTCAAAGCTCCCATTAATCCGAGTTAAGGTAATTTCAGCCTCTATTTTGTGAACAATATTTACTCCAAGTTCTATTTTTACTTTAACGTGTTTCACCTCTGAGAGGTAGAACAATCTGTCCCTTTCCCTTGCGCTCTAATGTTTATGTCACATCCAACAAGGAAAATGAAGAAAGACTGCTAAAGATCTCCTACTCAACTTACCCGTACAAAAAAAAACCTTTTTGTTTAGCTTTATTTTCATTTATTTTCAGTCATGATTCCACGCTTTTGTTTTTTCAACCACCTCTATCTTCTTTTTCTCCCCTCTACCTTCTCCTTTTTCTTTTGAAGAGTTATTATTAGACATTTGGGGTGGTGAAGCTGCGACAGATATCAAGAATCTCACTTGGAATTTTCCTTGTTGTCGATTGAGTCATATGTGTAAATCTTTTATTATATTGGGATGTTTTTCATCATGATATCTTTGTTTCTGGTACCTGCACTTCATCATTTGGAAAATGCTTACATATCTTTTTTATCCTTCATTTCTTTTTTTAATAGTCGAGAGTGATTCAATGTAGTATCTGTTCAGAAACTTTCTTATCCTTTATTTCTTAGATCATCCATCATGTATGTTGGATTATAAAGCATTCTGCCATTCATTTAACGAAACCATTTTCTTGAATTTGACCTAACCTTACCTAGCAAGTTCATTTCATTTGTAAATTCTTATTTCTGATTGGATATGGATTTAAAAAAAAAAAAATTTAACTCTAGGCTTGTCTTGATTATGTATGTTACTTATTAATTTCCAAAAAGAAAATATCTTTAGCATCCAGAGATAGCCTTTTAAATATTTCTCTGTGATATTTAGGTGGATTACTCTGGATTCATGACAATAAATTCTCAAAGATTTGGGCAGAAGTATGTTGGGAAGGAATCTTGAGGTTGCTCATATTTTATGAGGAATAAGTTCTAATTTTTCTTTCATTTAGGCACTAAATGGCTAGAATTCAACATTTGCAGGTTGCAAATCCCCAAGATATTCTTATATTTTCAAAGGCTAAAAGGAGTCAGAAAGAAGGTAATTTAATCATCCATACTTTTTTAAATTGGTGGTTGGGGGGTGCAAACTAGTTTTTGTGCAAACAGAACCTGGTTTACTTTCCTTCCCAAGGTGAACAACCCTATGCCTGCTAAACTTAATCTTGTAAACCCATAAATCTTTTTTGGAAATATGTAGCCAGTGAAATATACTTTTCTAAGTCTCTTGGGGCAAAAGTCTCTAACATATACTGAAATGGCTGTTGGCTTGGAAGTTCATTTTCACTTTTAAAAGCTATTAAATATTATTAGGAACAGTCTTTTTCTACAAAATGTATTATAATTGTTCCAAATTGTTATGATGGCGTGTTTGGTGATTGAAAGCGGAACTTGTCGAAGGGAATTCTAGACCTGAGACTCCTTAGAGAGAATCTTAAATCTCGTAAGAATTGATTTAATCCGACTTAATTTTATTGCTGTCATTCAGCCTCTTTAAATAGAGGTTACAAAGGTTTACTTGTTTGAATAAAAGACAACCAAGTAAAACAAGGACTCTAAATAAAGAAGCCCCTTTGATTGGAATTAGCCGATCAAGATGGTGCAGAACCAAAAAATATGATTGAACCGTGTTGATTATATGGTCAAGTATTGTGACTTCAAGCTTGAGGACAAGCTCTTTCTCTAGATGGGGAGTACTGTTATGCGTTGAACATATTTTGTGGAAGGTCATTAGTTAATTTTGATTCTCTATTTAAAGCTTAGGCTATAATTTTACTTCTTTCCTTATTTCTTGCTTAGGCTTTTATTGCAGTTGTTTTATTTTCTTTTTAGGAATAGGTTTCCGTTATGTAATAAGATTAGTTCTTATTTAAAGTGACATGAAATAATAGAACACTAAAAGATTGGGTCTCTCTTTAACGTGTTCTAAGGTTTCAGTCTCCCTTCGACGAGCTGAACATTCAATCATCATAGGTTGTCCCAGGAATAGTGATAAAGGGAAGGCAATCGCTGTTGATGTTACCGCCAATCAGCCAGTGACTGAATCTTATTCACATGTTCATAACACAATCTCAACAATTCATTGTGCAACTATAGGACTTTGATATGCTTGTGGTAAGCCCCATACCTGAAACCAATAAACAAAAGAAAATAATTTGGTGCTAACCACCAAGTTGGCATGCCACCTCTCTGCCATGAAGAGACCACCTTCCAAAGGCTAAAACAGATTGCATGTCAACAATATTAGCAAAATAAATAAGTGTTATTAGTTCTTCCAATAAAAGTAGCATCATGATGGAGATGCCAAGCACGCCTAAGGAGAGATTGAAGACAGTGCATAGATAATTGACGCAGGTCATGCAAATAATCAAAGACAGTTTCTCCAAAATTTGCGATTTACTTCAAGCTCCTCATGCTGGAAAGGAACAGCTGAATCACGCTGGATCGCCGGTTGCTTGAACTCTTGAGATTCTGGATCAGGTCTTTCATGTGGGGTTCAGACTCCATAGAAGAAAGTCTATCATCACTTTTGGTCCAGCTGCAGTCCCAACTTTTAATCATAATGAACATAGAAACAATAGGGGATATTGGTGGTAGTTTCTGGATAATTTTGAACCCAAAGGTTTCAAGGAGGTATGAGGGTGAAAATGTGAAATTTTCTGGGAGATAATGAATAGTATGTTGATCATTCATTATGTAGTGGGAAGAAACCAGTCCGTGTAAAGGAAATACAATAACTTAACAAACTGGGATTTTGGTGTACAAGATGCAAACCAGAAGTTAGAAGTGTCCAACTTGTAGAGAAGGAAGAGCTGATCATGCATGCAGAGATGGAAAAGAAGCCATGTTAAAATCAACAATCAAATCAAGAAAGGATGATAATCTCTAAAAAAAAAAACAAGAGAACTAAGAAAGAAACTGAAGTTGAGATGAAACTAAAGCTTAAAGTCTCTAGAGATAAGAAAAGCTCGATGAAACCTTTTTTTGAATAGAAATATTTGTGTATTGAAAATATGTATAGCTTAAGTTAACTTAAGTTTCTTTATGATTGTAGCCAAAATTCATGATTCTGAAAGGCTTCGTCCAGAAGAACTAAATCAACAAAATATAGA